AATGCACCTCGAGAAAAATGCGAGTGGTTGCCACTCTTTTTTAACTAGTTGTTGCAGAAGTGCGCCGATTGCAGTGTCTGATGCATCAACCAAGATACTCAACGGTACCATTGGATCCTGATACATTGAAAAGGTGGCATCCGCAATAGCTTTTTAACCTGAGTAAAAGCATTTCGAGTAGACGCGTCAGGTTCGATGGACCTGCTGATCCCTCGAAGAAGGTCTGTCACTGGCTGAATCAGAGAGGCACAGTTGGGAATAAACAGTCGGTAGTAACTTACCGAGCCATTAAAAGCGAGGAAACTTTTCACTGTCTGTGGCTCTGAAAATTTCAGTATCGCATCGACTTTACTAGTCAGTGGGCGAATGCCCTTGCAGTCAATAGTGTGACCCAGGAAGTCGAGTGAGTCAACGCCTATCTGACACTTTTGAACATTGATAGTAACCCCATGTTGGCGCAACTTTTCGAATGCAAAGTCCAAATGTCTAAAGTGAGTTTCCTTCTATGTACTGGCAGTGAGACAGTTGTCTAAGTATGCGTATACAAAGTCGAGACCATGAAATACTTCGTCGATGAAGCGCTGGAATGTTTGTGCTGCGTTTCGTAGACCAAATGGCATACGTAGAAATTCAAAAAGTCCGAATGACATAATGATAGCCGTTTTCGGAATATCTTCTGGTGTCATCGGGATTTGGTTATGCGCTTCAACCAAGTCGATTTTAGAGAATATAGTTGCTCCAGATAACGTTGCCGTCAATTCGTGTATGTGAAGCAATGGGTAGCAGTCAGCGGTTGTTTGGCGTTCACCCGCCGGTAATCACTAGTGGGTCGCCAATCGTTGCTACCCTTTTTTGGTACCATATGCAGTGGGGATGCCTGTGGGCTATTCGATGGCTGAATGACGCCAAGGGTGAGCATATGGTCGAACTCATTTCTAGCGAGTCTTAGTTTGTCAGGAGCAAGTCGTCGTACTTTAGATGTCACGGGCTGTCCTGAGGTTATGATGTGATGCATAAGATTGCTGGTTACGCACGGTAGATCGTTAGATGGGCAGTAAAGTTTCTGGTCTCTACCAACGATCGGTTGAAAAGTTGGATCAAGGATTGCCTTCACTTAAAGAGTGACAAGCTGGGGCCTACGTAGGTAATGCCTTCGATAGACAGTCTAGTGGTACCGTCTTTCAGTCGCTTTCGGTGGACGTCCAGGAGTAAGTTGTGACGATTAAGTAGGTCCGTGCCAATGATGGGGTCTGTGACGTCAGCGAGAAGGAAAATCTACTGAATAGGTTTGTGAAAACATACATTCAGACAGACGTATTTCCTACCGAAGGTTGCGATTGGTTTTCCATTTGCAGCCTGTAAGTTGAAGGTAGGTTACTTCATCGATCTGCTACTGTAGCAGGAAGGACGCTGACTTCAGTGCCTGTGTCGACTAAGTATCGGGTCTGGCTGACCACATGGTTGTCGTAGTATATGAGTGGATAGTGGGGAGAATGAGATGGGATGAACATATATCTATGTAAGTCAAGAAGTCTCCCAAGGTTATAAAGGGAGAGCTTGATGATCGTCCTTAGTACACACAAATTTGTTTATAAAACTGTGAAATAGGGCATGTCATGACAGGCGAAGTTAGTTGGGTAGTCCACTGATTAAGTTTCATAACTTGCTTGCAGTAATGCACTCTTATACAAAATTCTGGTTTAATTTTATTGTTTCGTGATAAATTAGGGACTCGTTAAGGACTGGGTCCACTTGGCTTTACACTAGCATTCAAAAGAACAGAGCTGTTTGTTCATACGTAATCTAATCAGAATGCTGTGTTAGACCTTCCTGAAACCGAAATAGAACTGTGATAGGAATAAGTTGGCTTAAAAACAAACTAATTAAACATTGACCAAATAGACTGCCAACCCACCGTTCGGTGCTTAAAGTGTCTTAAGATTTACCTTGGTGGGAATACATCCGTCGCGGCTCGAAGCCAATTTACGCATAACCTCGGAGTCACATATATCGGTTAGATATTTGCCGCATACCACCTCAACATTTATGTTATTTTAGTATATTACTTTTCAGAGTATATTCTCAGATTGCTGGGTTTTTTCTACCCGTATCTTGCTTTAAATACCAAAATTTTAGTTAAGGTCTTATTAGGTGGTTATTTGAGCGTATTACCAACAGGAGAATGGAATTGTTGCAGATTAATGAACACATCCAGAGCTTCACATCACAGTAACACTTGAATTTCGCCAAGTAACTTTCCTGGTTCCTCGGGGTGGTAAATTTGAGTCACTTGCAAATATGTGCTTACCAACTGCTGTGACGTTAGTTAGTACCATCTTGGATGTAACGGCTGTGTGAAGTGTTTGTCGTCCCATTAAGTAAATAATCTCGTGCATCCTATAAGTAATGAGTTTATTGTTATATCATGAAATCCTCACTCACCAGTGAAGCGAATCGATCCTCCAATTCATTTTACTCTTTCTATGTTTACTTCCCAAATATTATTTTGAAGTTAGATGTGGAAGAACTGTAGAACATTCGTTACTTAAATTGACCGATTTTGAGTACTGCTTACAATACTTACTCGTATAATTGGGTACTGTTGGGTAACTGTAAAACTTATGTTTAAGTGTATGTGGTTCAATGAGAGCTTTCTCACAGCTAATTTGCAGTGATACTAATACCTTGTGTGGATTTTGACTTAACTTTGCCACGTTTTGCTGAAACGTCACTTTTGGTGCACTAGGGATTACGAAGACAAGGTTAGAATTTCATGCTTCCCAAGGTCAGGTTAGGGCTCACTGAAGCTGCATTTATCACCTGACACTAGAAGATGATGTATTACCTTCTGGCATTAGTTTACCCCATTCTCTTTGTTTGTCCGAGGTATATTACATCTTGTGTTTGTTTATTTGTTGACTATTCGGGCGAGTAGAATATTGCATCGTTGAATTACAATTTACTTCTACAGTTGAGGTGACATTAACTGAAGGTGTGAAGTATACTGCGGACAGACACTCTTCCTAAAAACGCGTTAACAGGAGGCCGTTCAGCGGCCCACTTGAATCTTTGGGCCAACCAAAATTCCATGCTTCATGGTGCATGACATTCTTCCTTAACCTTTTTGCTTTGGTTACCCAGTTCTTCTGGGCTGGGAAACGCACTCACACACATTTTTATTTGGGTTTCAACTAACATGTGCTCATTTGCCGAGGATGGTGGAAAATATTCATATCTATGCTTCGGATCGCAAAACAGTGCATAACATGACATACTATACTATTCTATTTCACTTCATGGTTCAAAATGAAGAGGAATCATTATGCAATAGGTCATCCTGAGTATTCAGCACATTGTGTAAACGTTCTGCCTCGAATAAAGCCGTTTTTATAACTACTTAATGAAGTGCAACCGATCAAGATTTTCAGAGCTTGAATTTCTCGTGGATTTAGTTGTAGAAAGTGTATAGTGCACCTTCGTGGCACTGATATAAAAAATAATGTGCTAATAACTAGTTGTAAGCTCAGTAATGCAATAGATCGCCTCTGGATCCTTGGGGTGCATGCTAGTTTCACAGTTTCAGGAAATCATGGGTCTTTACCTTAATATCCATACAGTGATGGCTACTGATATTAAATCTAGTAGTAATGTATCACTCGTGCCACCTGGCATACTTGTATTATTTTCGATTATTTATCTGTATTCTCTAGTTGGCCGGTGACTTTTCCCAGGTCAACTGTGTCACTCCCAAAATGCACTGGTATTCTGGACGATCCGGTTAAGTTCTGTGTCTTTACATTTCAAATTTGTTCTTGTAGACAGAACTATTTTGGTTTAGGGGTAACTGTCTACTATTCCAATTTGCGGATGCAAGAGATTACGTTGCTACGTGTGTGTAGGAGTCTGTTTTTGACTAACCAAATGTTGGGTCCATCAGTGTATTTTTAAGTATTTAGCAATACTGAAAATCATAGGTTTCCAGTTGAGTACAGCTCGAAACCAGCTGGGTTCGAATCCTGCGAAATGACGTCATTTATTAGAGTGCTTCTTAATAGAATGTTTTCTGGCCTTATAGCCAAATCTTTCAGGATATCTCAGGTGAAGTGGATGTCGCCTTTTGACATTATTCATTCACTGGGCCATTTACATCGATTCACCTCGCGATAAATACGTCTGGAAAAGATGTTATTTGGTCAGATTAGTATATTAATCTTTCCATTGTTCCTAAAAAGAGAATCATTTACCTGAAATATGGCCGCAGCGCATATCCTAATTTCTGGCAACGTACCATTATGAATAGACGGATATTCGTGAGCGCGAACAGGCCTGAAAATTTCAGACTTGAAGACAATGCACAGATGTGGTTTCTTGACAAGATTTATGATTTTCAAGGGACCTAATGAAAAACAGCATTAGTCAAGTGGTCACACAAAGCCGGGGGTCTGTATAGTAACTGTTATTAACAGCCGTTTTGTGTGATCGAAAAATCTACGGTTAAATCTCCTCAGGAGGCAGTAGGTCAGTTAAAAAAGTATTCGACAGCCATCCGTTTATAAGCTGGATCATAACTATTGTACACATTATTTTCGGGTGCTTCGTATGTTCACGGAAACATCGAACCTCTTTCAAAGCGCATATTCCAAAGGTTTGCGCTACATTTGACTGAAATGTGAATGAAAGAGACTACAGTCAGCCTCAAGGTCATGGTGGGTTTCTGCGTCGGCTGGTTATGTTTTCGTGAATTCGTTTTCCATTGAATTTTAAAGGTTTTTTGCATGTTTTTCCCATTTTGCAGTGTGTAGATCAGTTTATGTCACTGGATACTACTATTAAGGTGATTTTTAGCTTGAAGTTCCCAGTTTTTATGTTGGTAGTCAAGGGTTATGGTGAACCTGCAATGATTCAGCCAAATAAGGTACACTTTTCTAATATAGTAACCTTATTCAATAAGTAAACTGCCTAACCGTTCTGCTATTGTTTGAGATTAAAACTAAGAGCTGGTTTCTTATCATGATTGAAAGTAAATGGAACCGACTGGGTTTGCTTATCCGCTCTGTTCCATCCCTCACAGGACAAATTAGCTTGGACTAGCGTTATTTCAGAACTAAAAGACTCAATTCAGCACCTAGGTATCATTGTAAGCATGACCAGCGTTATTTGAGAAAATGGTGGGTAAATAAGAGCTTCAGTTACCATAAAAAGGCCTTATCGATGAATAGGTTAGAATAAGTTTATGAATATAGTAGGCTTGGTGGTGATAAATCGTATTAATCACCGTTATTCAGAATATGCTATGAACCGCAAATGCTCGGCTGAAAAACGTAGTAAATAAGGCACAGATCGTTTTAATTTCTAAGTGACTTTCAAAGCGCTCTCTTAACGAAACAATCAACCAAAGTATTCTTTAAACTGTCGGTCTTAGCCTTTTGAAAGGAAAGGAAGTGTAACTGCAGTTTATACATACATGTTTATATTCTGAATACAAATGGAAATAAAAAGGTAATACAAATATTTTCACAAAAATAATCGATTAACAGGGGCACGTCGTAATCTTAAAGTTGTTTGCGGTTCATTTGCTAGCAAACTGTCCAACCTTCTGGTAAACTCCGCTATTTCCCGCAGTGCAGCATCCGGATTTCTTCGGTTCAGACTGTTGAGACGATATCTTAAACGTTCATAAGCATTTCGAAACGCGTTGTTTGGTTCCGGTATTAACCGGATGGCCCTCGGAATGTTGTCCGTTGTGTTATATACACGTGTCCACCTCTCACTATTCCTCAGAATATCTAAGAGTAACATTTAAAGAAATGGAACATACCACAATTTAGATATGAGTTCAAGAACGCCTCAACGACATGTGCACAAGGCAAATTGTATGCGCAGTATGTCCAACATGTGCATTTCGCCTCGTTCCTGTTTACGAAGAATATGTGACCACCTTCTGCGTAAACAACTGAGGTAGAAGATATTGAATGGAAGAAGAAGGAACGCCTTTGTAAATCTAACACAACTTTCTGGGCAGCAAACGGTGTGAGACTCCGTAAATGAGACTTCAGGGAATTAGGTACCTAGGATAAATCGTAAATTATCTTCGAACTTACATCGTAATTGTAGTATTTAGCAAGCATCCACTGGCCCTGACGTATTTTACGCATGGTTGTGTGGTCGATCCACCTCCATATTTTCCATAGCGTCAGTTCCATAGGATCACCTTTACGTAGATATCTTTTCAACTGCCTATGAGCATTCTCAACTCTGTTGTTAGTATTGTTCCCCATGCTGATGGTGAACCTGTTGCACGATGCAGCCCAATATTTGCGTGTTCTTAGCCAGTACCTTCTAATGTAAGCACCAGCCTCAGCGTCTACAATACTTATGAGGTTTAGGTAACGCCAAAACCTTTGGCAATATACTCTGATTTGCTAACCTACCTGTCATAACTGCGCGTGTGCGCCATTCGATACAACCACTTTTTAACAAGCTGGTTTGGGAACTGTTTTCCCTATGTCAGTTAATGGGAATGTAACTTACCTTCCTTCTGAATGCCTGGCATACATGGAAAAGACACAAAACAATATTGCAACTAGGGAATTCCTCCTTTAGGGCTTTCATCTGTGCAGTTGCACAGTCGACAGTGAATGTTAATGTTTTCGATGTATCCACCATAAATCTCTTAAACGTTTGCAATATCTCCTTGATATCTGCAAACGTTTCTCTCCTAGTAAGAGCAAACAAAACAGTCCTTCCTCTTCCGAATCCATCAGTCACAACAAACTGATATAAAGGCCATCTGTAACAAATTTGGAAAAGGAATTATACCTTGTTGTACTGAAACTTACCCCATCTTATTCGTTTTGTAAGTACAATCGATTCCAACTACTTCTGGAAACTTATGATACACGTCTATCATATCATTACGAGCAAAAATGATTTTAGATACAAAGCCTGCGTTGTCCTGCAAAACTTTAACTGGACCTGTCTGCCTCAGTCGATGAAGCAGCTCTTCCAAACAACCAATTTCTATTCTACTGCACCATTTATTTTGATAGGACTTACGTTTATTTATCTTAGCCCGCATGTTTTTAATATCGTTATACAGGAGCGCTTTTCCGAACTTCTCATGTGCTAGATCCATGATTTCATGGACATCAGTATTCCTTTCAATGAACGGTTGGATAATTGCCATTTCTTGTGATGATAACCGACGTCTAGATACATCGGTGGACATAAAACTTGCTGTGCAGGGATGGTTATGCACAGTTTTGTACTTGGTTATCATGTATACGTTGGATTTCCGCTGGACTAGAATTATTGACTGACATGATGTACTTTTGAACCTTAAAATTTACACACGCAGCCAACTTACCCTCTGTTCCTAAAGCCAGCACCTCGGGGAGCACGATGACTTCCAAAAGTGCATTTAAACTTAACAAACTTGTAGTCATCAGCACCGGATGGATCTTTTTTACTTGAATCAACACGATAGGATGTATTGGATTCCTTTCAAAGAAATAAAGAACAACTTAGTTAGTACCTTCATAAATGTGTCTAAAGCTTCCTTAAATTGTGTCCATGTATAAAATATACAACACAACATTATCCTTTGGAATATAGCTGTTACATCACACAATAAAGATGATATATTTCTTGAAGTAGACGCAGTAGGAGTACTTTGCAACATCATTTAATCGTTTTAACAATTCCTAACGTGCACAACACTATGACTTCAAGTAAATAAACACTAGTATACATTTCAGTGCTTATATACCACTGGCCATGACCTTGTCAATTTACTTCATTTATGCTGACGTAGTACGCACAATTCCCACAAATCATTGAAGTGACAACTTAAAAAAGTAGATTAGTTACTACATACATATTTCTACATGTAATAATTCAGGACACATTAAATTTATAGAAATGGTTGAATTATATTCGCCTAGTAACCAAAATGGCATACATCCTATTTTGGACTTAAAATAAATGCATCAAAATTATTGTTGATTTATATTCACTTTCTGGACATTCTCATACATCTCAATATACTTTAAACATCAACAATGCATCCAAATAGCGTGTGACTGTCACACTACACTCACACCAAAAAAATTAACACGCCATTATATTATGGTAAGGTAAGCCCGAAATTTTACTGACTGTAAATTTCCGTGTAAAAATAAAGAGATTGGCGCTTTAATTTATATTTTAGACCAATAAAAAGCCAGCTAGCCAACAGCCAATAAAAAACTGCCTATATCTATTTTCAATGTGAATGAATCAATAAGGTTTGTACGTACATTTTTGTGAGTTTGATGGTGAAATCTAATCAACGAAATAAATATGTATCGTTTGAGAATTTTGGCCTAGTTTCGGGATTGATGAGTGGAAACTTATCGAATATCTTTTACACTTTCCAAGTCCCTGGGCGACTAGGCTACTATTCTGTTACCGCTCCTTGAGTTCAGCTTGTGTGATTCAGTGAATATTTGTCTTTACACCTGTCTCGATGATCCCCATCGATCATAACCTCGGTTTAGTACCCCAAAAATATAAATTGACTTCATAATGAAATACGTATTTCATTAAGTACTTATTAAGTCAATTAACCAACCCTACAGATCCAGTGTTTAAAAAGTATTCACAGTTGTAAAACGATTGAGCAAGGGAGCTACCGCAATTAATTACAGGTTAAACAACTTTCCCCTTTTTTAGACAGACAATCTAAGTATATAGGTGACTTAGTAGTGCTGATTATCTTTAGCATCGTGTAGTCGTTTATTTTGAATCAATTTAAACAAAATTAATTCCCTAACTTTAGGTAACCAATCAAGTTATCTCGTCATACATGTCTTGACTCAGCAGGTATAATAAAGAAAAAACTGGGAATTATGGGAGGCTGCATTAAAACACCAACATTTACTAACAATTATATTTTGATAACAAAAATCACATGGAATATAAATTTTACAAGTATAATATCCTATTGTTTTGGATAAGACTTTCTATTTTCTTTGTAAGTATTTTTGTTTACTTTCTTTAAATGCATTCCTAACATTGTTTATGTAGAAATAAAATAAAGTTTAACTCATTTATGAGGTGCAATTGTTTGTCTTAATCTTTGAACCATATGAGTTACCTAATATCCTGTGGCTTAGCTCCACGTAGGTAAAAGAGTATTTACAGTTTACAGTACACTTTCTGAAAGTCAAGTCGAATGCAATAAATTTTTTTTCTTTCCACTTTGATTAACATTTTGTGGCATAATAATCCACTCATGCAGGCTTAACCTTTCACTTCAAGAGAGTTTGATGTTCAAGCAACCGGTTATGCCGGTAAGTTTAAAGAAAGTACGAAGACATCTACAGGATGAGTAGTAAGATGTACATTTTACATTTTGGCTTAACTTTTCTAAATTGACAACCCAATTTATGTATCCATCAAAGTATATCATTGATGACGTCAATCTTTCACGATACAAAAATGCCTCTGATGAATACACGCTGCACGATTTAATTGGGAATAATTCCTGAGAAATGATATCTACCTTAAATTTTTGCGTGATTTATAACCATCATCTAACCCAAAGAGTTCGCTTCCTATGGCTATTATTATAATGCCTCATACGGATATATATACTTGAACTTTCACACGGTTTATCTAATGATTCCAGAAAACAATCTCATGGTACCCTTTTCATTTCTCTCACAAGTTTCATTCCACATACTGATAACCTTGGGTTATGTCGTACACATAACTTAGTGTTTCCCGATACCCCGCGTTGCTTCATACACAGAAATCAATAAACACTGAGTAGTCTTCTTTATATCTAACCGTTGTTATCCTTAGAGAATTTCAAGTATTCACCCTTTAAAATAAGTGTCAGCATCTTTAGCTTGACTTCACTTCGTCTTTTTTGAAAGTAGGGCAAAACATACTCAAGAGATGGCTTCCGTGTAACTCTGCAAATGACGGTGTACGTCTTATTTTAACCTTCAAGTAGTAGTTATAAGTTGAATTCATGCCAAAGATAAACTTATGGGTTATCAAAAATTTTAAAAAAAGCATTGACTCAGATTCTTCTCTTTCCTTACCGATTTTTATTTTTAATACTATTGAATACGGTTGCCTTGAATGATCTACGGCTTATCGACTTTCAGATGATGTATTTTAATTCCGAACCTCGGTTTTGAGAAATCAGGCAGTAATCGTAAACTGTCACACATTAAGTATGCCACTGCAAGCCATATATATATATATATATATATATATATATGAAGCATTGTAAATTTATTAAGATTTACGATAACTTTGTAGTTAAAATTATACAAGTTATGCAAAGTTTGAACCAAAGATCTGATGATTCGCAATGGAACTGTACGCTGTTATTTGGGTCAAGTCGGAATTTCGGGATGTCACCGATTGAAAAACCGTCTAAGTATGGTCGTTGTCAGTGTCTTACCAACCCTACTATATTTAATGTAAGATATATGTTGAAATAAGCAATTGTTGGTTTGCTTAACAGACATTTCAGTCGCTCCAGCTGAAAGTGTTTCACGACTGTACCAGTTAATTTGAAGTCTGTATTGTACATTCAACCCTTGTTTCGCAATACTACTAAAAATGGTGTTTACTTGTTTCATAGTGGAAATCAGCCACCTGTACTGAACATGTTTAACTCGATAGTCATACGTACCGACGCCTAATGAAATCTAGAGTTTTCAGGTTTTTTTCCTAGCGATTTGATCGGTTACAGGTTTGGTCACGAACATACGTCGTTTAGAGAACCATTGGAAAACTAGGGAGTATAGCACAGCTGTTTTGTCCCAGCTTGGGACACTTCAATAGTGGACACCCACAGGGATTCGGACCCAAGACCATCCGGTTACAAAGTGAGCTTGTAAATTAATAAGTCATTGGGAGCTGACTCATTGGCCTATGAATACCAAATTCTGCCAGTTCGCGATATATGTAATGCAAACACCACCCAATATCAGCGGTAAGTAACTGTTCTTTTACCTGACTTGGAAGACCCTGCTAGTCACGACTTCTCACTAAACTCCAAGTAACTTCTTGTATAGAGCCAGTTGCTAGTGAGCATCAGATCGATTCTCATGTGTTGGTTTTCAGGGGTGTCATTCACTTTCATAAATGTAAAACAGGTTGGTTTTCAAATCAGTCAAGCAAACTGACATTTAAGAAGAATAGTGACTAGTGAAAATACAGTCATGAATTCATAAAAACAACCCACTCATAAAAAGAACTACTAGAGCAATGAGCTAAGAATTCGTTATTTGTCCACTGTCTAGCCATAATCTTGGCGTTAAAATTAAAACTAACATTTGGGAAAATCCAAAAGGCTATAAGCAGCGAGCACCAACAAATGGGTATTAACTGTGGACAGCATATACAAGATGTTCGTATAATTTTCAAGTATTGGTTTTTGTAGGGATTTAGTTTGATTGGTTGGAGGATTTCATCATGAGCTAACATCAGTTAGAGAACCATTGTTAAACCTGGGAGTACCGAACAGCTGTTTCGTCATAGTTCTGGACGCTTCAGCACTACGCACCCACCCTAACTGGGTTCGAACGGAGAACCTTCTAATTACAAGGCGAACTGGTAGACCATTAAGCCACTGGGACCCAATCCAATGGCCAGCCCATGAGTTCTAACTTCTGCCAATTCATGAAATAGCGCCACCACTTCGCAATGTCTTCTTCGATGAGTTACTGCCTCACTTTCAGCCTGCTGCACCTAACTGGTCACGGCTTCCCACTAGAACCCCAGGTAACTAACTGCCTGAATAGGGCCAGTCACTAGTAAGCATCAGATCAATTTTCAAGTATTGGTTTTGTAGGGATGTCTTAGTTTGATTGGTTGGAGGATTTCATCATCAGCTGACATCAGTTGTTTCGTCGGCTACTTCATTAGAACGCGCCCCCGGGGTTCGAACTATCAAGGAATGGGTGTATTGTTAAGCCGCTGACCCTATATTACTTTAAATTTACCTTGTCAATCTGTAAATCTTTTTGTTTTGCTAGTTCCTTAAGAGTTAGCTACTCCTTCGCCTCCAAAATTGAGAACAATTGTTTTTGATTTCAGCATTTCCCAGATAATTACTTTGACATGATTAAATGTCAATATAACCCAAATACCCTCGAGTGGAATCCACGTGGTAAGTGATGAGTGGGTAGTCAGTGCGAGGGTGACATGGAGGAGATCGTGTGTTGGGGGGGGAGGAGATGAGACATTATGGTCGATCGTGGGCTGAGCTGAAGAAGGAGGGTAGAAAAAAAAGAAGAAAGTGTAGTTGTGTTTTTGAAGCCGCATGTTCCACTCGGAACCCAAGGGAATGATGATGGTAATGTGGTGAGAGGCAGACTGCTAGCCAATTGGTAGACATTAATTTACGTCAATGCTTATGTCGCTAATATTGGTCGTGAGAAAATATGAACAAGACTGATTCAACAACCAATCACAGCAGACTTTGCGTTAGCAGATACAGTTAACATATAGATGACCTGACATTCAAGAAACGGTCACAAAGAGATGCAAGGTCAACTTTCTGTGAGAAACAACCAATCGGAAGAGTATGTTTGTTTGCTTGAATAATCTATAATAATGTACATGAAAATGTATAAATACGTGTTGATTTCCTTAATAAACGATCTGTTGCCTGACTCTTGCTCTCTGTTGTTACAGTAATACTAACCTGAATAGATCATTACCAGTTGACTGTAACACTGAGTTCTTAGTGGTACATTCAATGCAGCCTAGATAATTTCCTTTATTCTATCAAGCAGCCTAAAGTATCTGACATCTGTTACAAGTTGTTCCTTGCACTTTGACCGTTAGCTAGTGTTATAAACTTGTGAAAAATGTGTGCATCAGTTCAAAACCATAAAAAAATCAATTAATGAAGTTTCTTGGTTAACGATTTCAGAATTTAGATTTCCTGTGTATTTATTTTTCCTTCTCTGTATATGAGCACCGCTGTCTAGATTGTTTTTACATACAATCCCATGTGATATCTTGCTTCCTTCTTCTTTTGTCTAACAACCTTTTTAGAATGAGGATGAAAATCGATAGTATCTTTGTGTTTCTCCCATTATGCATTTTCACTATATGCCATTATGTAATACCATTCAGTATGGCTTATATAACATACTGTCCATGTATGGGTATGTTTGTGTCTCTCCTCAGTGTATTCATCAACCACATTGCTATTAGGTCGGCTAGGCAATCAGATAGAACAATTTCTAGGCATGATTGCATTTGCTATCAAAGTAAATCGTACACTTGTTTTACCCCCGTGGATTATGATGTCATCATTTCGTACAGTAAGTGTGTGTGTTTGTACTTTTCATTTGATAATTTCTAGGAATTTATACCTTTTGAAAAGTTATTCAATATTACCAAACTTTCATCAGATCATCATCAAGTGATTCCACAAGAAGATTTTATGACCAATATAGCTCCTGTAGTATGGCCGACAGATAGACGTAAAGGTATTTTGTTATTCTCTCTTTTACAAATGTTTTTCCTTCTCTAAAATAAACTATAAGTAATATGTTGGCAGCCTAGATCTGGTCCTTTAGTTAACGATTGTAATGCAAAAAATGGTAATCCATTCAAAGCCTTTTGGGATAGATTTAATGTCAATTTCACGGGTTCCACATTCTACTCTCCTTTAAGTGTAGACAGTTCAAAAGAACAATGGGACAATTTGTAAGTTAACATTTGAAAAAAAACACTCACATAAATATTCTCCATTATGGATAAGATTTTATTTTGATAAATCACAGTGTTTTATACTGTAATATTTACTGATGACCACGTTTCAAGCACAACTATTGCCACTCATAATCATATCAAGACACCACTCACACAACTTTTTTCCTTCATTTATAATACATGTGTGGAATTGACTAGATATTTGAATAAAAATCAATGTGTGATAATGTGCATTCAGAAATAATAATACGAGTGTAATTGTTCAATTATAATCAGATGGGAAATAAGACGGGAGTTTTTATAATCATTATAAGTAATTTGTTAGAATGGTGTGATGTGCTTGAATTAAAATAGAATTTTGAGATTATTTATTATCCTCCTCTGATTCGACTGACTGGTGGTAATAATATCTTCCATGTTTCTGGTATTTGCATTGAGTCATTCCTATTGCATGTGTTGGGTGTAGACTGGATGAACCAGGCAGGATTCAGTAATCAATCTCTCTCTGCCTCCACCTACTTATATTACTTTTTAGAATTTTAACCCTCTCCCACCCTAAAACGTAATCTAGGTAGGTGGAGGCAGAGAGAGATTGATTACTGAATCCTGCCTGGTTCATCCAGTCTACACCCAACACATGCAATAGGAATGACTCAATGCAAATACCAGAAACATGGAAGATATTATTACCACAAGTCAGTCGAATCAGAAGAGGATAATAAATAATATCGAAATTCTATTTCAATTCAAGCACATCACAACATTCTAACAAGTTACTTATTTTGTCTTATTTCCCATCTGATTGTATTTGATCAATAACACTCGTATTATTAATTCTGAATGTACATTATCACACATTGATTTTTATTCAAATATCTAGTCAATTCGACACATGTATTATAAATGAAAGAAAAAAGTTGTGTGAGTGGTGTCTTGATATGATTATGAGTGGCAATAGTTGTGCTTGAAACGTGGTCATCAGTAAATATTACTGTACAACATACTGTCTGACTTTATCAAAATAAAAATCTTATCTAGAATAGAGTTATACTCTACCAGCACAGTGCCCAAGTTTTATACTTATAACATAAATCTTCTCTTTTTTTATTGATTTTTGCTTCTGTGAATATCAAGATTTCCAAAAGAATTGTATCCAGTTCTTGCATTTGTTGGACCAATTTCAGCATTTCCTGTTAATCCTAAAAATCGATTTTACCATCGTTATCTTGAATGGAGTGATCATATTAATACACTTATTAATCAATATATTGATCAGTCATTAATCAAACCAATAGTTGGTGTTCATTTACGGAATGGAATAGATTTTGTAAGTCTGTGTGATTGTATTCGCAGTGGTAAAAAGAATGATTAGTGTACGTTATCTTATTAAAGGTATATTATGGTGAGCAATATCGAGAGATTAGGCGTAGGGTGTTTGATCCATCAGGAGGATAATTTAATCGATGAAGTTGTGAAGATGAATCCATTGAGATAGTTTGGGCATGTCTGTTAACCGACATTGCATTTCAGATTTGAAAAGAGTTGGTTTTGTGGTCGAATCCAAACGCGGTATCATTCTATGAAGTCTTTAGCAATCGGTTGTGGCCTACATATGGATGTAGGTGTAGACTGTCTAGTTGGGGTCTTAAGGATGCTAAGAACCAGTGGCTGAAGACTGTTGGAAATGTATGGCTCAAAGTCCTCCTCCTTCTTTCTCTTGCACACGATATAGTCCTTCTAGGCGAGGACGCTGACAAAATGCAGAGTCTTCTAAACACCTTTAGCTGCAATCTACGAATGTTTGGCATGCGATTCGCTCCCGCCAAATGCAAGATGATGTTACAGGACTGGACTACACCGACTCCTAGATTAGAAATAGGGAATGAATTGGTATAGCACGTTGACCGCTCCGTTTATCTGGAAAGTACCATCAGCCAGTGCCAACGGGTTGATCTCTGACGAAATCTCAGCTGAGTACGGATACAGAGGGCTAGTTTCGCATATGCTAGTCTACGCCATCTGTGGCGTAGACGTGATATCCGACTATCGACCAAAGGGTGGGTGTACTGCTCATCAGTTTGCTCCGTCCTCCTTTATGGCTGTGAGCCAGACGTGGCCATTGAGAGTGGAAGACATGAAAAACTGGCTAGGTGTCTTTGATCATAGGTGCCTGCGTTCTATTTCCCGTGTGAAGTGGTATAATAAGGTGAGAAATATTGAGGTTAGGCATCGGTCGAGTTCTAAGTAAGCAGGGGAAATCAATCGACGAGGCTATGAAGCTACATTGACTGAGATGGTTAGGACATGTGTTACGTATGCCTAGTCATCGCCTTCCTCGACGGGCAGTGTTAGCTGATATAGGGTCAGGCTGGAAAAGAGCTAGCGGCGGTCAAACCAAAACATGTCACCAGTCAATGAAATCTAAAACAGTTAGTTTAAGTCAGCCAGTCACGTAGGAAGGTGTAGACTTCCTGACTGGTTTGGGTCCTCGGGATGGTAAAAACCAATGGTTGGAAACAATTGGTGATATGGGTCAAAATAGTTCTCAGTGATGGCTAGCGAAGATGCATCCACTCCTTGTGACTTATGATTTCCAATGAAACTGTTTTGTTCTTCGTTACTACTATTCCTTTGTCTCACACCTCTGTTTACTATCCCTATTATGCATTTCTTCTACTTTCTTCTGTTGCTTTGTGTGGTACAAGGAGGGAGTGTAGCGACTTGAACTGGTGCACATCTGTGCAAAGTTCTATGTCGAAAACAGACAGACTTGCACACTTCTGCTTTTTATAGTTCCTTTGAATGTCTTCTTTCCCTACTTCTCTCTATCTTTGTGTTTTATTATGGAGTGTGGCGGCATGCACTACTGCGTTTCTGTGCACTGTTCTATGTTGAAGGTCAGTCAGTTAGTCATAGTTTCATTTGAATAAATGTCCTCTATGTTAGTTGCATAAGAAACTGTCATTTACTAAACTGACAGAAGTAAAATTCCGAGTTAAGACAATGTTTCAGGTTAGACCACAAACTGATGTAATTTAGACAATCATTGAAAAACCATAGCGATTCTCGCATATCTATTTCTTCCTAGATTGTGACTCTTCGTCAGTATGCTCCCAACAGGGTTCATACCCTGGACTTCCCACAGGCAAAAGGCAAGCTCTGTAGACCATTCAACCACTGGGACCTAGATCCACTGATTCATGAATCTCAACTTCTTCTTCTAATCCGTGACATTGGCTAGTGGTCGCGCAGAAATTCTGTCGTATAAATTTTGAAACTATGTATGTCAAGAAATATTCACTTGGGCATTCTCACCATTTTATTAATTGTTGAACCAACAATGAACCGGAATAGATCTTTCATGTAGCAGGCTAAGTACCGTTAGGGCTGTTTACTCTACCCACTTGTACAGGATAAAGTAGGTATATAGCAGGACTCGAGCCCTTAGCCTGTTGGCTAAAAACTGGACTCTTAAGCCAATAAACTTCATCTTCACTTTGTGTTAATTAACCAGACCATATTGTGATTCAAGTGTTGGTTTGTAGGGATTTGATTGATTGGTTACAGGATTTCATCATGAGCTGACATTAGTTAGAGAACCATTGGAAAACCACATAGGAATACTGGACAGCTGTTTCGTCCCAGTTTGGGACTGGGACTCTTCATCAGTACGCACCCACCGGGATTTCAACCCAGGAGACCTTCTGGTTACAAGGCGAGCTAGCTCGTATACCATTAAGCCACTGGGACCCCGATCCAATGGCCAGTGAGCTCATTAGTTCTAACTTCTGCCAATTCACGACATAGCCTCACCACTAGTCAATGTCTTCGGTGAGTATTTGTCCTCACACCCGACCTGCTGCACCCTACTGGTCACGACTTCTCACTAGAACCTACCTGAATAGGGCAAGTCGCTAGTTCAGCATCTCATTGTTATTCAAGTGTTGGTTTGTGGGGATTTGATTGATTGGTTACAGGATTTTCACCATGAGCTGACATTAGTGAATGGTATACGAGCTCGCCTCGTAACCAGAAGGTCCTGGGTTCGAACCCTGTTGGTGGTTGTTTACTGCTGAAGAGTCAAAAACTAGGACGAAACAGCTGGCTGTCCATGGCTTCCAGTTAGTTTTTCAATGGTTCTCTAACTAATGTCAGCTCATGATAAAATCCTGTAACTATATTGTAATTTCTTGGTTATGACGAATATCAGTTGTCTGATTTTGTCTAAACTGTTGTTATATTGAGAATTCTAACGGGATCTATATAACCTGGATAGGTTTCTGTATATGCTAGTCAATGAGTTATCCTCTTTATGTTGAGACATCTTGGATACTAGTTTATTGACCAGCTTGAATTAGGTTCAAGTTTGACGATGGATTGATATCAGTTAGAGGACTGACTGTACAGCTGTTTCGCTCTAGTTTTTTTCGGACTCTTCAGTACGCAGTACGCACCGCTGACTCCACCACACGACCTCCCTGGTTTTCAATGACTCTACAAACTGATATCAATCCGTGAGCGCATACTTGAGATCAGTCGAATCCTTATAGACTGACACTAGATAACTTGAATTCGTTGTATTAGAGCTTCAATCTGTGGTCTATGAACAAGTATAAAAGCTAAGGAAATATACCTTAATGTGTCAATATATCTAGCATTTGTACAATATGGCCAAAGTAATTTTCCCACTATAATTTTGCTTCCTTTTATTATTTAACTTTACCATTATTATCATTATCCTTATTTTACTACTACTCTTTTTTTTTACTTCTTTCAATTTTTCATTCCCTTACTTTCCCAATGGAAAATAGGACTTCAAACTAGAGGCCTGAAGTTTCTGTAGCAGTCGGTGGTGATTATTTTTACAGTATGGGGGTTGCTAGCCTCCTGCCCAACCTTCCTTCTTTACCATTCTTATTATACTAGATTAGCGAGGTGTGGGAGTGTGTCCAGTGGCCGGGAATCTAACCACCTGGACCACCACCTGCGTGCGTGGTCGGCGAGAATTCTACCACTCAGTGCGCCACCGACACACTATTACCACTCTACTACTGTTTATTTAATAACACTACTTTTACATACAGATTTTATAAAAAAAAACACTATATCGTCTTTCCACTAGTTCCTGTCCACTCTACACAATCATATTGATCAATCATTTTCTCACACTTATCACGTCATGCCAACTTCTGCTGTCTTTTCTAATTTCTAATTTGTCACCCCTTCCTACACCTTAGATTATGTAATACAACTTTTCAAGGAAAAAATTTACCAGTATCTGATTGGTTGTCTTATGAATTCTGTGTATTAAGTGTAATTACGATTGTACACCAGCTTATGAAAACGAATAGTTAAAAACAAAATTTTCAAAGGCGATATAGCCAGCGACATATTAAACCGTAGATTAACGAGATCAATTGAAAGAACTTTTAATGCCGCAAAACTGCATGTCAGTTTCTCAACCAAACCGATATTGACACTGTGCATTAAAGATAGATTGCCCAAAATGGTGACATCAATGTGTGTATATAAATTCAATTGCTCCTGTGGAGCTAGTTATATAGGTCGTACCCAAAGGAATTTATCTTTACGCACTCGTGAATATATTCCTGTTTTTGGCTTGGGAAAAGAGCAACCAAAACATTAAATAGTGCATTTCTGTCTCATCTAGTGGATAGCGAACACAGCATCAAAGTAGATGAGTCATTTACAGTTGTGTATCGAGTACCGAACAATCTCCCCAAAGGCACACGATTACGCCTCGTAGCCATAGCTGAGGCTTTAGCGATTAATAGAGAGAGACCAGACCTATGTGTACAGAAAAAACTTATTCACTCTCTTTGTTTTCTCTGGCCCACTATAAGGTCACCAGGATCATAATCTTTTCATACTATTATTATCATTATTATTATTATTTTGTGATATCATGTTTTTATTATCCATTTCTCCACCCAGTTTATTTAACCTCATTGTTACCCTTAATTTTTGTCAACCTTTATGATTTTATACTAAGCCTACCAATTCTGTAGCATTTTATTACAATTTACAATTTAGCCTCTTTATTTTATCATTGGACATTATCTGTCAGCCTTCACATTCAGTGCCTCCTTTGTTAATGTGTATTTGTATGTATTTTATGGTTATCGCATTTACTGAAATTTTCTTCTCTGTTAACGTCATTTTCTTATGACTGAATATGGGAATATTTTGTCAATATCCAGAAGCAGTTAAATTATTTCAAGTGTTAGCGTATCCGAAGGATTTCTGCTTCAATGTCACCTTTGAATTCTAGTTTAAGCAGAAGTATCTTCTTTGGGATGCATTGAA